TGAAATTATTTAGTAGAAACTATTTTGAGGTTAAGCCCATTCTCTCCAGGAACAGAGTTGTTATAGGGGAGAGTATGCCCTCCAGTTATTGGGAAGAAAGGCTTTGTAACTTCTGCCTGTGATATATCTTCTCAGTAAATCTTCATAAAAGCTAACTGCTATTAATTTGTTAAATGATACTAAAGCACTAATCACTAAAGGGCATTGATAATATAAAAGAGATAATAACTATAACTGACAATTAATAGTAGGCAATATACACCAGAATGGGAGCTTGAGCCAATAACATTAGAGAAAGACACTCCTTCAATCCCTCAGCGTTGAGACCTCTCCCCCAAGGAAAAGACACAGCTACCCTCTCCTGTAGAGACACAACTCATAAGTGGAAGTGGGAGTCAGGATAAGAATCCTCAGAGTTTACAAAGCTAGATGCAGTAAATCACTCTCAGTGAATATAAAATACATTGGATTTATGCCCACAATCATCAATTTTTTTAATAATAATCATCAAAGAGACTTTAAATTGCATAGTATATTCCTTGATAGAAATGATAGTTTTCTTTTCAATCCAACCAGTGTTTATTGCCTATCTCCTACATGCTTAACCTGCCCTGAGGCCTGTGGGAAAATAGAAGAGAATGGGACAGCTACGTGGCACAGTGGATAGAGCACCTGCCCTGGAGTCAGGAGGACCTGAGTCCAAATCTGGCCTCAGACCAAACATTTGACACTTACTACCTGTGTGACCCTGGGCAAGTCACTTCACTCCAATTGCCTTGAAAAAAAAAAAAGAAAAGAAAAGAAAATAGAAGAGAAGCAGCTTAGGGAAACAGAAAGAACACTCCACATCTGAAGTTGGAAGATCTAGCTCCAGCGTTTGCATCTGTGTTACTGGGAGCAGGTTGACTTCTCTAAGTCTTTTCCTCATCTAAAAAAATATGGATTATATACTTACACTCCCTGTCTCACAGAGTTGTGAGGAAACCTTGGCATACTGTATGAATGTGAGCAATTGTAGCTGTAGGTAAAGGCAGCACTTGCAGAGACTAATGGAGGATTTTGAACCTCAAAGAGCTATGGAACCAGGAGGTATGAAGCAAGCTCCAGAAGCTAGATCCATGTATGAAAGGAAGTCAGGGAAGAGATTTCATAGATTTAGAGCTAGGAGGGACCTTAAAAATCCTCCAGCCTGCCCACCCCCATTAGATAGATGAGGAAACTGAGAACAATAGAAATTAAATGGTTGTATCCAAATTTAGATAAACCGTAAGAGGCAGAACTAGATTTTGAACCTAGGTCATCTGACTACAAATCCACTGCTATTTTAAATGCTCTAAGCTTCCTTCACCATGAGAGCTGGCATTGGCTGGCAAGGTTTCTTGAAGGAGAAGAGACATAAGCTAGACTTTTCAGGCTATGCTGTAGATAGGTTTACAAAAGGGTAATAGATAGCCAAGAAGTGATGAAATTCTGAAGGCATTGTTCTTGACAAATTTCCCCTGATGACTAATAAAGATGGTAGAAACCAGCAGCTATTCATAACTAGTGATGCCCAACCAGCCACTAAAAAGACTCCTGATGCCCAACCAGGCATTATAAAGCCTGCTGGGGGTCACTAGCCACAGGATGAAGATGCCAAAGATGGCAATGCTTGAGATTTTCTTGATTCTTGATTTACACAAACCTCTGAACCTCAGGAAGAACTTTGCCCCTAACTCCGGGGACCTCTTATTCTTTTCCTTAAACTTAGCCACCTTCTCCCCAATTTTTCTGAACTTCTCCTCTGCATTGGCCCATTGGAGCTCTTCCACTAGGCTGTACACCTCATTGGTGTAATGCTCACCCCTATTCTTCTGTACCAGGCTCTCCACTATATCCATCAGCTCCTTCACTTGCTCTTCCTGCTCCCTCCCTGTGGCCCGGTTGCTGAAGGCACAGACCCGGTCCCCACATTGTGTAACCAGATCTTTCAGGGCCTGGTTATCTGTAAACTTGACGTAATCCTTTATGGACCCCCCTCCAAGATCTTCCTTGCGGGTAAAAAGGATGACTGTGTGCTTCACAACATTATTCCCAAAGATCTCCTTCACTTTCTTCATGGCTTCCTGGTCCTCTTCAGTGTGGCGACCTAGCTGGATCACCATGATCAGCGCGTGGGGCCCCGGAGAGGAGAGGAGATAACATCGAAAGACTTCTTGAGAAATTAGACCTTCAGTAGACACTTCTAGGCTAAAGATATCAGGAGTGTCAATGATCTCAATTTCCTCTCCACCCCACCTCCGGCTCCCTTTGCTGCAGATCTTCGTCACTGGCGCCCCCGAAAGCTGGGACACAAATACATTCTCCCCGAGGATGCTGTTCCCTGTTGCACTTCTCCCGGTTCCTGTTTTCCCCACTAGGATTAGCCTCAGCTTGGTCTGTTGTAGGAGCTGTCTCTCCTCTCCTGAATCTGTAGGGAGCAAATATTATTCACAAATCAAATCAACCTTTTCAGGATGATCCGGGTACTCACTGGGGCTTAGTTTTCCCATTTAACAAAAAGGAAGAAAGAAAAAATTAACAAAAGAATACGCATTGTGAGAACTAGCCCTCAGAACTGACTGCTCTGCCTCCTTCTCAGTGCCCTCAGCCAGAGACCCAGAATTGCCCTGGCCACTCAGGCTTGCCCCCTTCAACAAGGCTCCATGCTGCGTCCTGGGCTCTAGACCTAGTTCTGCCACTAATACCATGTATAGCCTCCAATAAGGAATCTCTCCTCCTCTCTGAGCTTTGGTGTCCTTATCTGTCAAGTGAATTTACCTGTCCTAAGTTATCTCTGGGGTCTCCTCCAGCTCTTACTTTCTTTGAGTCCATAGGTACATACCCTGATCATTAGCTTCGTTGTAAATTTCCATTAAATACGGCTTTACTGTTAGTCCACAAAAAGTGGTAATACATGACAGAGGCAGCTGAGTGACACAATGTGCTCTCTGTGGAGTCAGGAAGACCTGAGTTTGAATCTTTCCTCAGGGACTGACTATGTCTATGACCTGGGCAATTCCTTTAAAGAATCTCAGCATCAAGTTCCTTACTTGTAAAAGGGGAGGTAACAATAATACCTATATTACAAGATTGTCACAAGGATCAAATAAGATAATGCGGGTAAAGTGTTTTGCAAACCCTAAAAGGCTAAACCTTGCTACTTACTGCTAGTACTAGTTTAGATGGTGGTCATGTTACTAACCTTGAATATCTCTCAAACATCTGAGCTAGCAGAGAACACGCTGACCAGAGCAACTCTTCCTCTACAAAGCAGTAGGTATTTCCTGTTAGCCTTGACATCTTGAGCTAGGAGGGGGGAGCATAGTACCAAGCCTAGAAGTTTTCTGCCACCTAAAATTCTAGCAGAAAGTGGGCATCGGTGCCCTTTCAAAAATATTCCTTACCATAGGGGTTTTCTTCATCTTTTGCCACTTTTCTTTCTCTCATGTTTACCTGGAACAGCCACAGAAACAATAAAGTTTAAGTAAATAGAGGAAATTTAGGGTGAGTCATTACTATTGGCATTATGGATCTGGACAGAGGAAGGGCAGGGTAGAGACTGTAAGTATGGTTGGCAGTCAACTATGGATGTTTCATGGACTGAGGCCATTATGCATAATAGGAAGCACACTGAGATTGTAGTTAGGAGACTTTGGCTCTAATCCTGCAGGACCTTAAACAGGTCAATCTTTCCGCCTAAGTCTCAGTTTCCTCATCTGTAACTTGGGCTAGATAATCTCTCAGAATCCTTCTTGCTCTGTGATCCTCTGTTCCATCACTGGGTGCCTCTGTTCCATCAATGACAATTGATTCATTTTGTTAGGTGAGAATTATCATCTTTCAAAATCAAAATGCCCAGTATGGTTAACCCACTAATGCATACTACCTTATCAGATGGGAGATGGAGGTTCAAATCCTAGAGCAGGCACTTATTAGCTATGTGATACAAGGCAAGTATCTTAACCTCTCAGAGTCTCCTTACCTGTAAAATAGAGGAGTTTGTTAGAGGT